AAAGGAAAACTACACAAGTGAAGAAAATAAGGCCTTTCACTTTACCAAGAAGCACGTGAAATTTTGGTTGAGTAATTTATTTTACTACCAACATAAGTTACTTGTTGTTAGTGATAAGTGAACCTTTTCAAACTAAGCATAGGACATACAAAAATAGCATAGGACACAGGAAAACAGCAACTAGAGTCTCATCAGGTCCCCAGGACCATACTTTCTGTGATTTTTCTCAAGACAACAGAAAAATGGAAATGCAAAGCATAATGTCCAAGAATAACACATATTCTAAGAGACTTAAATGACACTTACTCAACTTAACCCCAAGTTTGATCAGTACCAGTCACAAATCTGGAATTTTTTTCTCCTATATATGAGCAATACAACAAAAAGTCAAACAAACCAATGAAAATATGGACAAAGGATCTGAATAGGCATTTCTCCAAAACAGATACATAAATAGCAAATAAGCTAAAAGAAGGTCCTTACCACCAGTCTGAAATGCAAATCAAAACCACAGAGATACCACGTCACGCCCACTAGTGTGATTAAAATAAAAAACAGCAAGTGTCAGTGAGGAGATTAAGAAAATTGCAGCCTTCTTACACTGTTTGGTAGGAGTGTAAAATGCTGCAACTACTTTGGTAAAAACCTGGAAGTTTCTCAAGTTCGACACTAAGCAATTCCACTCCTAGTTATACATTCAAGATCACTGAAAACATGTCCACAAGTGTTCTAGCAGCATTATACGCAATGGTTAAAAAGTGGCAAACAGGGCTGGAGAGATGGCTCAGTGGTTAAGAACACTGGCTGTTCTTGCAGAAGACCCGGGTTTGAATCCAAGCACCCACATGGCAGCTAACAACTGTCTGTAACTCCAGTTCCAGGAAATCTGACAGCCTCTTCTGACCTCCTCAGCCATTGCATGACATGGGTGCACTTACCTACATGCAGGCAATACACGCATACACATAAAATAAAAATAAAAGTTTAAAAAACAGTGGCAATCGCCAGGCATGGTGGCACATGCCTGTAGTCCCAGCACTTGGGAGGCAGAGGCAGGCAGATCTCTGCGAGTTCAAGGCCAGCCTGGTCTACATAGTGAGTTCCAGGACAGCTGGGGCTTACAGGGAGACCCTGCCTCAAAAAGACAAAAAAAAAAAAAAATAGTGGCAAACAAATGTTCACTAACTGGTGAATGGACAGACAAAATACGGCGCCATGATACACCAAATATCATTCATTCAGCTATGAAAAAAATAACTGACACACACTATAACATGAACGAGCTTTGAAAACATTCTGCTATGTGAAGGAAGCCAGACACCAAAAGTCACACTGGCTGGGTGTGGGTGCAAGAGAAGATGGCAAGTTGGAGGCTAGCCTGTAATACACTGAGATACCACCATGACCCCCCAAAAAGAAAAAGCAAAATATAAGACCCTATCTTTAAAAGGGGGTAACAAATAATGTATGAGTTCACTTGTATGAGTTGTCCACAAAAATTAAATTCATAGAAACACAAAGATTAGTGGTTGCCAGAGGGGTTGGGTCAGTGAGGAAATGAGTAGCTAAGAGGTACAGGCTTGGGGGTGAGGTTGCTTTTAGTTTTTTGAGATGACAAAAATAATCTGGATAGCGGTGACAGTTGCGAAACTTTGTGAATCCAGGAAAGGCCACACTCTGGAGGAATGAGTTGTCTGCTATGTGATGTACTGGCCAGTAAAACGCCCATTTACAGAAAAAAAGGATGACATCAGTGTAATATACACTTCCTTGTAATATATAAGTAGCAGATACAAGCGTGTCATCTCGTTCCATAAATGGACACTGAGATTTTTTTGGTTTTTAAATTGAGACATATTGCACACACGTAAAGCCAAGAAAGAACGAGCGAAGTGCTTGCTGCTGAGCCTGAAGCAGGCTTCTGGGGTGCGCGGGAGCCCCGCCTCAAGCATCTCCAGCCGAGCTCACCTTCCACCCATCCCTCCGCCACCGCCCCGGGCGTCTCGGATGCTCCGTGGGGCAGGGCCGGGCTGGGCCGGGAGCGGAGCCCGCGGGGCAGGGGTGGCCGGGTGGCTCGCGTGGCCGGTGGCCCGCCCTCCGGCGCCCCACGCCCG